GAACTGCACAGCCTTGTACGTGGTGGGCAGGCCTCCACCTGTGATGGTGCTGATGTGAGGAACTCCAACCTGAACTGAAGTGGACACAACAGGAGCAGAGTGTGTTTAAAAGACGGCTTTGAAGCCTCTGAAGGAGTTTAACAGACGAGCGGCTCACCGGAGTGGCCGTTGTTTTTGATGGAGCTTCTGAAAATCTGCTGGTAATTCTCAAAGCGCAGAGGAGTCAGGCGCTCATCTTTCAAGGTCTTCCTGGTCACAATGTTGATGGGAGACTGGTTTCTCCCTGCACAGTCCCTGTTGGCATGGTTCCACTTCTCCGGTGCTAAAACACAGCAATAAACAGGATTAAATGAGTTAGATTGATCATTTTCTGCTCACTTTGATGGCACTTTTCAACATAATTGATCCTTATTCAGCACCTGACAGCATTCAAACCATCAACAATTAAAGATGGACAAAGCAACTTCAATATCTCCCAGTGTACAAGTTTAAAGCCTACATGTTCATTTGTGTGGAGCAGTTATGTTGTGTTTATGGTGCCAGTGTATGCAACAATGTGGTATATTGAATAGAAGTGCAATCACATGACTACTCAGGTCAGAGAGAGCGGCCATGTTGTTCAGGGCAAGGACAACTCAACAGACTGTACTGTAGCTGGTGAACCATGGCATATTAAATTTAGAGCCACCTATCTGACACTCTACTGCTACTGACATTCATTATTTTGATTTGATAGAAATACTTGTCAGAACATATTATCATTTCAGACAAAAACATGTTGCCAAGGTACACACATCTGCAATGAATGTTTCTAATATGRAGAAGCTATTGAAAAACAAATACTCGAACACACAAATACAAAGTCCCACCTGCACACTAACAAGTTGTCACTTTGTCAATCACAATTTTACATGAAATATTTCACCTCAAATCACTAATTAAAACTAAAAATATAACTTTAAATGTATGTTAATAGTCCAGATATGAATAAGGTTTCTTTTAGACTAATTCTGTCTGTCATTGGGGTCATGTCTGGAGTACCACAGGGATGAGTCAACGGTCCTTCGTGTTTCTATAAGCATAATTACATTCAGGTAAAATCTGTAAAAAGGGTTAAAGTAGTTTAATGTTTTTCTGTGAAGTTAACCKGTCTGCTTGCTTTTCACTTTTATTACAGTGATACAGCTGGTTAAACCTTATCTAAAATGTCACTACAAAGTTTTTAATAAACTAGAAATAGTTATTTTAGATTAATTTAAACAAGCTTTACTACCGAGTTTTCATGTATCTATGTCACACTAAAGCTAAGTATTAACACTAACTAATCCCAAACTTCTTCTTACTCCTTATAAATAAAACAAATTCCATAAAGAAGGAAAGTTTTATGGAATTTGTCACACAAACCCAAATCAAAGGGATTACCAGCTCTCATCAATCTACCTTTGGTCACATAAAGGAGACAGTGTCAAGGTCAGAATTTTAGTCTGCACCATTACCTACGCGCAGCCATGTTTGCTCAAGCCAGGAGAGCTGGTGGTAACAGATGGTGTGTGTGACAGTGTGTCCAACACCAGCCACGGCCAGCTTTACTGAGAGGGAAAATAGACATGTGTCCTGACCACTGAGTCCAAACACGTATGCAAGTGCCAAACCTCTGCCTGAAAGCCTGGTCTACTCAACCCTCAGAATTTCAGCCAAACATCTTAGAATTCATTAGCTCTGACCGGGAGTTTGGTCACCTTGTGAGTCTGTGTGTGCTTTGGATATTTGAGAGGTGATTATGTTTGTCTGCACAGGGACAGATTTTGTAAACCTACCATGTTTCTAAATGTGCAACACAAAGTTGCATGGTGCTGCAGATTTTTAGCCATTGTCCAATTTACAGATTTCATTTAGTGTAAAAGCTTTTGAAACATTCATTGAGCAAACTTATTTTAAGTAATATGTTAAATTACTTAGTGTCACAGTTTCAAGGTTTTGACATTGCAGGGCTGATAAAATGAAAATATCTAAACACAAGAATTACGGAATACAAATAAACCTAATTATCAAAACACAAAATATTAAAAACAAACTAACAAAACAAACTGATTCTGACAATTAGCTGTGGTGACTTTTTGTACTGGGTAATGTGTTTTAGATATGTAGCCAGTGATTTCTTTCTTCTTTTTTTATTTTTATTTTCAGAGCTTTCTTAAAATTTGTCCAGCGGTTCTCATGATAGTTTGAGAATAGACACACAATGCTTATTCTGATACGTAATATTAAAATTTTAAGCTAATTGTACAATCGATTGTTGATGATGTAATTCCATCACATGGGAAGTACCATGTGTTTTGTCAAGCAGAATCCACCCACCCCACACCCTCTTCTCGCCCCCTAAGCTGCTGTACTAAATCCCTCAGCCAGTTTTCCATGAAAAAATGAAGGAAGAACAATTGTCTCTGTGGTTAAGGAGGAAAAAAAGATACTGTGAAGAGTGAAAAAAAAGTAAAACTCTTTACTGTCTGCAGCTCGGTTCTTACCATTTAATGTAAGGAGACATTCAAAACATTTGGATCATTCAAAAATGTCACATTGCTACGTCCCATATACCCAAAATGGCCCTGTGGTGGCCCACATGTTGTTTGACAGAGGTAATCCATGCATGGGCCAGCACCACATCACAACTGGTCCATTTGTGGCATGCCTTCTTAAAAACAGTGCCATCACTGACAGACATCACATACATCTGGTGAACAAAGCATTTGCCATTCCAACAATCAGCTCCACACCAGACATGGTCCACACCTGTCTGCGGGAAACTACTTTTATCAGAAGACCTTTATGGATGTCAATAATAAAATAATATATTTTTGTCACTATCCCCACAGTAAATGCACAAGTGGTTTATAATACTGTGTGTTAACTAAACATATAGAATTGCACAATAACAAATTACCTCAGCTTTATTTTATTTTTTATGATGGTAGTTTGCACCAACTCTGAAATAACATTGTGTGTCTCTTATTTAAAAGGCAGAAAAAAAAAAAAACACCCTCAGTACCCCACTTGTTATGGGCACAATAAACAAGCCCCATGGGGAAAATTATCTCAACCAAATGAGTTCTCTTGTGGGTTTGACTTGACTTTTGTGGTTCAAAGCTGTTGTTTTGCCTCTTCGAACACTTTTGGCTGAATCTACACATCAGAGTAAAACATCACAAGAGTCTCTGCCATGGCAGATTAAAACAATAATGAAAAATAAAATAAAATAATAAAGCAGTGGCACTGTCAGTGCATTAGTATCTCTTATTCTTCAGCAATGTACACAACACTTTATCTGTATCCACACGCTCCACAAAACACTGCTGAACTCCTGACACACCTTGCTAAAGTGGAGGGAAAAGAGACCAATTTTTCCAAGTCCATTGTAATGCTTTCAAGGTGAAAAGGCCCACTTCAGTCTCAGAAAGAAGCACTTTTAGGAAGACTAGTAAGATATCTATTTTGAAAAACATAAAAAGCAAAACATGGAGGAGAGTGGAAAGATTTGTGTTCAATCAGGCACAAAGGCATTAACACTATTTGTGTTTTTTTTTTTCTTTGCATGAACACACGGACAAAAAAAAAAAAAAAAAAAAAAAAAAAAACAAGAAAAAATGCTGAGAGCAATATGAGGTGGAAACCCCAGGAAGCAATGTTCACATAGCATTTTCAAAATGGCAGATAATAGACTTCTCCCATGCGTGTAAACATTGCATTTCCATAGAAATGGCCTCTTTCTGTGTTTCAGACGGGTAGTCATGGATGAGAGAGTTATGTGGCACTCACCTCTTAATCTAGTTAGATGTTTCTAAAACTGCACCGGCTCGAGGGTTCAAACAGAACGTAAAAATAAAAATAGGCATGGATGGCAATTTGAATTTTCCATCAAACAATGGGATACTGCCAATAAATAAGAAATGCTTTATTTCAACAAATCGGTTGTTGTTGTCAGGGCTGTTACATCCTCCTTTGATGGGATGAAGCAGAAACAGAAAATAGATGAAAGCCTGCAAGATGTTTGAATTATGCCCTTTTATTTCAACAGTTTTTTTTTCTTATTGTTTTGATTTTGTAAACTGATGAGTGTGAAGTCAACAAGATATTAGGAAGATGAAATAAATGTTTAGTAAAAAGTCATTTGACACTTTAGGTAAAACTTCTGTTTTGAAATAAACATAGTGGAAATTTGTGCTGGTCAATTATTACTTTGTTGTAACAATATTGTTGAAAGCCTGTTGATTTCATTTAAATGACTTGCCAAATTCAATTTCTTTGGTAAACCTCACATTTATGATGCGATGCAAATAATTGAACAGATTTAAAAGTTGAAAGAGTAATACTTGTCGTGCCCCAGAATGGTTTGTTTTAAGCAACTGTTTCCCCCAGAGCAATATTGTGGACTAGCCCTGTATTAATGTCTCAAAATAAGCTGATTTAATGCCATTGACAAATGAATTGCATCTCCCATAATGCACATGGATCATGGATGGGAATTCCCAGTCCAAACGTGGAACAGCAACTACTCACCACAACACTGTTTCTATCCAGAAAAATACCGCATGGATCTCAGTTGTTGTTAGTGGTGCTCAGACATGGCAATGCTTTGAAAAAAATGTGACAATTTGTGTTTAGTGAAAGTCAAATATGAAACATCAAAATTAATTACAACTGGCCCTTTGAGGACCACCATATCTCTCGTGTGGCCCTTTGCGAAAATGAGTTTGACCCTCCTGCTTTAAATGGTCACACATTAAGGTGAATGTATTTTGGGGTTGAGAAATATTAAGCATTTGACTTGTAGGTGTCCATGGAACAATCACCATTTTTTCTTCGTCAATACTAAATATCTTATTGACTTTTGTTTTGTGCTGTTGATACCCAGATACTGGCACTCAGGTGCCCGATTGATTCATGATTGACAGCACATGCGATCAAGCAGTGGCAATTACAAATATTTACAGTTAGGGCCCAAACTCTATCATCCAAGATTGCAGAGCAGGGTTTATCAGATATACTTCCAGAATTAGGGAGTGGAAAGAGTGAAATGACCTGTGAGCACTGCAGTCCTGACATCAACCCTATTGAACAGCTGTGGGGTCAGCTAGGTTGTGCTGTTCTTTCCAGATTGACCACTCTTATATTCTGTAAAACAGAAGCATGATACATAACATATGGAGTCCTGGCGACTGCAACATTTTGAATGAATTTTAATACAAACAGGCCCAGTAAACAGAATACCAAAGCTGGGAGACTTGGCCAAAACAAACAAAAGTGGGAGAAAGCCACAAACCAGAA